TGGCATAGGTATGGTCAGTGGGTTATGGACCAATTTTAAAACTTTTATGTGGGGGTAGAGGGGGAAGGGGCAAGGAATTACCTGTATTCCTCCCTTCGATATAAAACTTTCAGGCAGGACTGCATTGGCAGACATAAACCTCATGCAGAACTCAAAGATCCTGTTGTCCTTCCCTAGCTCTGCATTGTTACCAAGATGCTGTCTTGCCTCTTTGCGTTGCAGTTGGCATGATCCGTCTGATATAGCTTCTAGGATGAATCAGCAGAACAACTTCGTTCCTCCTCAAATGCGTCTAAAATCAGCCATCCTGTCGCATCAGTCTTAAAATTCAGCTTTGGTTATCAGTTTACATGTTCATAAACATCCTTCTGTATATCCCGATTGAATGCAGTTGCTGTCTGTGCCTTAATGTTACATTCAGTAGATCTGCAAATACACTGTATTTGCAGGACTCTAGCTACTGGTGAGTAACCATCCTTTTTTCTCTTTGTGGTAACATTGAAGAATTGTTATCTTTTTAATGGTTTTTGCAGTTGCATGGCACTATATCAAATTAGCCAGTAAAGATTATGTGCTGTCTCCTTTAAATCTGTGACAAGGGTTGAAGATAAACCCTTCCTGTATGATTGTTCCCATAAAATGCTCCGCACTTTTATAACAAAGAAGCAGATGCCCTTTACCTGTGTGCTTTTGCATTCTCTGAGCAGGTTATATTTTTATGACGGGAAATGTCTGAGTGCTTGTGTTAGAGGGATACACAATGTGATCTGATTAGTACAATGCAGAAAGGCATTTATGAATAAAATTTAATATGTAACAGGATAAGTCTGTTACACTGACTGCGCCGGCGTAATTTGTTATAAAATAAGTGTATATGTCCCTGAAGGCCTTATGTAAGTGTTCACCAGGAATGAATCCAGCCTGCTCATTTCATGGTAAAATAGTTGCTTCAGAACTAGCTCCTTTTTTTTAATTAATAGTCACCAAGAAGTTTATGTATAGGTGCTGCTGTTATAGGCGAAACTTGGTGGAAGAGAGATTTTCTGTGATAATCTTTTTAAGGGGGGGGTTTGATTCGGGTTTTTAGGGCTAAAGATGACTCTTTTCTTCTGTGGAATTTGCTAAATTCATGCAATTGTTGATGCATTTCTGCTTTGTGTTAAATGCTTTGTGTTCTTGATCCATATGTGCAGTAGGGGTGTGTAAAACGGGCCATATTTGATTCGGATTCAGATATGGCCCAAATCAGGGACAGTGATTTGATTAGTTGATTTGGATCACTGTTCCAATTTGATTCGGCTGAGTCCCAAACTGAAGATTCGATGCTGATTCAGAGAATCAGCAATTCATCCATACGCAGTTTTAAATGTTTTTTTTCTATATACCTCGAGGTACCAGGCGGCTTGTAAACGCTGTGATGCTGGGGCAGATGGAGCATCCCACAGGAGTGCGGGGGTGGGTGGGGGGACCCCGTGTGCTCGGTGGTGAACCCGGAAGTGGACTGGAAGTGCTTCTGGTCCACTGCCGAGTGCACGGGGCAGTCCCTTGCGCTCTCCTGGCTTGGCAGTCAGCCGGGGACCCAGGAGGCATCAGTCACTGAGCCAGGGCGTGGGGGGGGGGCTGTATGTTCCCCAGTGGACCGGAAGTGCTTCTGGTCCACTCCTGGGTCTGCTGCTGAGCATGCTGGGGACCCCTCCACGCTGCTGTGGGATGCTCCATCCGCCCTAGCACGGCAGTGATCACAAGCCGCCTGGTACCTTGAGGTGTGTCGAAAAAACATTTAAAGCTGTGTCTATGTCCAAATCATCAAATCTTTCTGAATCAATTCAGAGGGTTCCGATTTGATTCGGACGGATTAAAGGGCCTTCTGATTCGATTAAGATTTGGAGATTCGGCCACTGAATCAGGCCAAATCTCCGCCAGGTTGAATCAGCAACGGAAGCTTCATGCAGCTCTAATATGCAGCACGCATTAACAACCCCACTCTTAAAATCCACCTTGTTTTTGAAAACTAGGAGTCTGAAGTTAGTCTCCAAAATCTATATGTAGGAAAGTGCCTGAGTATCTACTAGCTCTCTATTTGCTTGTAAGGCTTCGCATGTAAACCACTCAAGCCTGAGCAAGCATCCTGCATGTGCAGTAGGACTGATTAAAAAAACCCCAAATCCATGACTTGCATGCTCTGCTTTATTTTAGGATGTATTTTAAGGTGCTCTGTGTGATCTGGTCCTCCTTGCTGATCCACTCCGCTTCTGTTGTAGTGATAAATGAAGTCAGTGAGATGGGTACAACGGATGGTCCCGTCCCTACACTTGAACGTTAATACACTTGGGTGCAGTGGAAGGACCATGAGAGACGATGGGCTACGTTTGCTTATTGATTTAAGTGTCCAAAACAGTTTACCTTCAGCGCGCATTGATCAGACGAATACAAGCCACAAGGTGTGCTTGTATTTGGTTACTGGGGGTGTCAACTGGGTGGACCTTTTTGCCACGTTCTGTTTCTTTTGGAGTTGTACATAACTTGTGCATAATTTGTAATGGAGTTGTCCATAAGCGTGGACAAAGAAAAAAATTTTTATTCATCTAAGAGGGCTTTTACCTTTCCTTTCTTTCCTTCTTTCTTTTTTCATCTGGCTTTTTAAAAAGTATGTTAATTGACTAGACAGGCACATGGGAAGTGAGGCAGTACATGTTGAGACCTGTGCTGGAAAAGCCCAAGTACAAAACAGGAGCAAGAATTCCCTTCTCCCCCATTGCAGAAGTGTATCAGACTGGTCCTTTCAGCATGTGGAAGCAGGTGAGAGTATTTGATATTTGTAGTGCCTTGAAGAATCTAAATGGGGCATGTTATTCATGTCTTTTATCTTCTTATTCAGAAGTTGAACTCCTTTTTAGGGCAGCAAACTATGTAGAACTAACCAACAAAAATAAAAATGCCTTTTCCCTCAGCCACTGCTGTTGGGAGGAATCCTTAATATCTTCATTGCTAATCAGTCCTTATTCATTAAAGACTTTGTGAGTTATGTCTGAGTAAGAATTGAGTAAGGATCTGAGAATCCAAAATATCAAAGATTGTTGTCATTTTATATAGCATTTTTTGTTGTTGAACCGAAAATGTACAAAATATTCAGGGATGAATTTCTAGCAAAATTTGGTTACTTGTTTCAGTTGAAGGGCATTGGATTGAGATCAGTTTCTATAATACAGACGTGTTTGGAGATCTGAAATTCCACGTTGGTAGCATCCTGACAGGCTGCTAACTGTTTATTAATCTGTGAGATTATAAACTTCATGTGTTCTTAGGTTTGTAATAGTTTAACAATTTCTGACCATTCAATACTTTTTACATGAGTAATCCCATTCACTTCTATTAGGCATACTTGTGTCAGTAAATGACTCTTAAATTAAACTTTGTCATTATTCTCTCTTACTTTAATCTATTCCTTCAAGAGTTAACTTTCTAAGCAGCCACAAATTAGTTCTCTCAGTTGTTTTAATTATTTTTCTTGTCACGCACAGTGAAGGTCTAATGTTTGTGAAATGTCTCTTTTTTTGTCCCCTTTCCATGGCCATTTCAACTATGCTGGCATTGAAAACTAAACCAAAATGCTGTCTATGTGCTGTCTTATTATTTCTGAAGATTTGTGCCTTTTTCTCAGTGTAGCGTTGTTAATTTTTATAATTTTTCTTCAAGATGGCTCAGGCATGCCAGCATTTTGTGTCTCAAATGCATGCATGAGACACGTTAGCAGCTACTTGCTATCAGTGGGCTTCCATGTGCTTGCTGCCTGTTGACTAATTTCCTTCTGTATATCTGACAGGTGACTCAGAGCAAAACCTGGCAGATGGCTTCATCGTTTTAGTATGTAGCCAGAGCCTTCTGAGATGAGTTTTGGAATTTCCATTAAAGTAGGGATTAGGTTCAGGATATACCAGGGGGTACAGCCCACCATAGGAGTGTAAAATAAGAGGAAATCGTTCATCGCGAGTCATCTTGTGGTTGGATGATTCAGGGGTCTGCTGTTGGTGGTCAGAAAGGCACGTGCTTCACCCCACAGTCTTTGTGTGTTACTCAGAATGCAATCTGTCTCTTAAAATTAATTCCACCCTTCTGATTTTTGTCCAGTGAATTTATTTCTGGAAATGAATAGCTGCAGTTGCTGGACTGAGTAGTGTGCAATTCTGTTTACAACGAGCATGTTTTCAGCTGGTGACTTATCGTTCACATTTTTGTTTGGGGGAGGACGGGGAGAAGAATCATTTGAAACTTGTTTAAAAAAAATTCTCATGTATTTCAGTAATAGAGAAAGTAAAGGCTACTTAGTTTCCTAATGATGGAGGAGTATCTGAAAAGCTATTTCTTGGAATAGTAGATCCGTTGGCACTAGCTGGTGATTTCCTGTGCGTTTGCTGTAAGACACACTCTGTGATGTGAGTAGGTGGTACTTAAGAGGTTGTTACGAAACCAGTTTTCAACCGCACGTTTTGAGTCATGGATCAGGAAAAGGGATAGCAGCTTTACTGCTTTCTCTTTGTTTCAGCAGGGTATTTGTAGTGCACACGCGGTATATTCTGTGTTTGTGTGGAGCAAGACTGATTTGGAATGGAGCTAATCTTCTGTTAGGAGCTCTTTTTTTATGCCACTCCAATTCTGAGTCGGCACATGAGAGTGTGGACTGAAAGAACTGGAAGCAGAGTGCAAGGTGTATAAAGAATAGTTTCCTGCCTGTAATTTTTTAAATGGAAGTATTTTCTCATAGTTATTCCCAGATGTGAGAAGCAAAATGGAGTTTCATCAATGACTACAGTCTGTGCTTAAAACAAGATGGTTATTTGGAACACCTTGATTCTGTTCCGGAAGCAAAAATAGGTGGCTTTTCCACTAGAATATTCCAGGGAATTGTTCTGGTTCCTGGGCCAAAGGAACTGTTGACCTACTGACTCAGTTATGAAGAATAAAGAAAACAGTCTTATTGTGGTTTCCTTTGTTGATGGCAGATTCAAAAGATGTCTGTGATCATGCAAGTATGACTAGCCGAAGAGAGGTGGCTCTAGCGTGCATGCTGCATTTTGGATTTGTTTTGTGCCTGCGAGGAGTTGCATTCCTGACCACTGGAGAAGAACACAACTTTGGATCTGCTGGCTCTCCTGGTGACCATACAATGGTAAATTTAATACAATTTTAATTTCTACTGGATTATTGTTTCCCTCTTTTAGTAATCCCTTTTTGATCTTCTCTTGGCATCACTGAACGGAAAAGCTGGGAGTATAACAGTACTAAATATAGCACAGGTAGCATTGCTCTTTATGTTGGTTGGAATATTTTGGAATCCACATGAGCATGTGGTTCAATTCTCTGGATTAGCTTTTACAGGGAAGATCAACTGGCCTTCAGGAGCATTTAAATTTGAGATTTAGATTCAGGTTCAGGATCATCTCTGCTACAAAAGGATCCACATTGTTTTCCTTGGAATGTTATTTAATGTTGATAAAATTGTTCTGTGCAATCTATGGTGGTAAGTGGAAGGGATTGGCTAGTGTTTGGTGCATCAGGTTTGGACTGCATGCTTTCATTGAATCGCCAGTTGGGATTCTAGGAGGATCAGATTAGGCATTGTTTCCTTTCCAAAGCACTGTAGGTAATGTAGGTATACGTCCTTTTGAATTGCACAATAAAAATTATGTCTGTGCATAGACATAAACTGATTGTTTTTCATAATAAGATGTATTCAACTTTATAAATATTCTTTAAGTATCTCCGTAAATTCTGACAGATTATATCAATTATCATAAAAAGCATTAACATAGCATTGGTTAAATTATAGGCAGTACTGATTGATAGAGCAAGGGCTGAGAAGTGAACATTTTAAATTCTACTCATGACTGCAACTGCTTTGTGACCTTGGGTAAATCATTTAATCTTAGTTATACCCTTAGTAAATTATGAATACTCGCCTCTAATAAAGTAATATATGAGCTGTCAGTGGTATGTATTCTGCCTTGTATCTTCAGAGGAAGCTTTTTCAGCATTTTAATTTCAAGAAAAAGTTTTGCCTGCACATTAATACATAGTAGTAAAATATGTTAAGGGCAAAAGGGGTAAAGCGAAGAAGTGATTTTTAATGCATCTAACCTGTTACTTGATTTTTCTCCTCTCTGCATATGAAAGTAAGTCACCATTGGCATCATTAGTTCGTGGTCCCAGATGAAGCTAGGAATTCATTATGTATGGTGGAATTTCTTCTGCAGGGTGTGTGAATCAAGGAAGCCTTGCATGTCCAAGTGCACCTAATTCTGGAGTTGCAATAAGGATATTGGGTTTTCTCTGTTGCAATATCAGCAAAGCAAACCATACAGCAGAGCCTCCTACCATACCATGAATAAAGCTACTAAGCAAAAAAAAAAAAAAAAAAAAAA